CCGTGCGCCACAACTACTGAGCCTGCGCTCTAGAGCCCGTGCGCCACAACTACTGAAGCCTGCGTGCCTAGAGCCCGTGCTCCGCAACAAGAGAAGCCACCACAGTGAGGAGCCCACGCACCGCAACGAAGAGTAGCCCCCCCCCCCCCCCCCCCCCCGCACCTAGATTAGATCCTGCTTGAACCAATCTTCTTTGAACTGTACTTCCAAAATCCCCATCTGGGTGGGGCAGGGGTCTGGTGATTGGATCACCTGCAGTTCTTCAGCCAGGAGCCCTGTCTTCTGCTCCAGCCTTCCCTGTGCTAACTAAGTGAGCAGCCCCATAGTGACTGACAATTGATCCTGTCTCTGGACCACAGGGGAGGAAACCTAGGCTCAGAGAGGTCACACCATTTGCCCAAGATCACACAGCGTACCTCTGAACTGGGATTGGGATGGGGCAGTGTGACCCTGCTGGAGGGCTGCCCCTCATCTCGCTGTCCCTGCTCTGTGCCCCATTCTGCGCACTAAGCGCAACTTGATGACTGGACATGGGTCCCAGGCATTTTTCTGCAGGACATGGGCAGTGCTGGAGCCACGGCTGCCAAAGGCATCCATGGGCAAGGGAGAGCAAGGCCCACCTCCCCCCTGCCAGCCTCTACCCAGGACCCAGAAGCGGGCCCTCCCTTACCTCCTTGCCTTGCTTGGAGAGGTGAGAGATCCTCCTCTTCTGCCCAGGAAACAGAGTGGTCAGGCCCGGGCGCCCCTGTTCCTCGGTCTTCTCCTCCTTGGGGGGCTGAGACACACATCCAGCCCTCAGCGAGGCCCCCCCCACACACCGATGCTGTGGCTCCTCTCACCCTGGCCCACAGCACGCGGAGGATCTCACTCCCAGGCCCGAGGAGCGGGTGGAAGACAGTACCGTGCTGAGGGAGGGCTGCCGCGCCTAGAGATGCGATTTGGGGCATCTGCCCCACCTCCCAGGTGAGCAAACAGACTTGGCGCCCTGGAGCCAAGGCCCCCAGTTGCTGCCTGAACCCCGGGCCCCCCCCCAGGCCCTGCGGATGGTGAGTTCTGCAGACTTGGCCCAGCCCACGCTCACGCTTGCCTCTTGCTCCCCTCCCACCCAGCCAGCACAGGGACGAGCTCAGAATCGTGGGAATGAAGGGGAAGAAATCAGAAAAGCAAAGGGCCAAGAACAGGGTGGGGCACTAAGGGAGGGAGTAAGGGGCGGGGCCAGGGTCCCACCCTGGGATCCCTCAGAAGCCACAGGTTCTCTGCAGGGACTGGCTCAGCCTGCTTTGTTTAGAGCAGGCTCCCTCTGGTGGCGAAGTGGGGACACTGCAGCAGGAGACCAGAAAGGTGGAGGCTGGCTGAGTTTGGGGGGTCAGGGACGGCGGGGGGGGGGGGG